CGCCCGTCGCCCCGCCCGTGTCGGCCCCGCCCCGCCTCCGGCGGACGAGACCCCGCCCCCCAGGCCCCGCCCCGTGCGCGTTGCGCTCTGCCGAGCTCCGACCCCATCCCTGCAGGCTCCGCCCCTCGGGGAGGGAGCTGGAAGGCCGCGCCTCTTCCCGCCCCTCTGCCAGCACCTGGGCTGTGGCCCCTTCACGTGGGAAGTGCAGGGTCCAGGGGTCTCTGCCCTTCTCCAGCCTCGGTCTCACTCCGGAAAAGGGGAGGGGCGGCCTCTCCAGCCAAACCCGACACGAGGGCCGAGGGGCAAGCTCACCGTCACCCCGAGCTGGGGGCTGCGATGTGGGTGGGGTCTCACTGGGGGAGTTCTCCCAGGCACTGGAAGTCCTGCCCACGGGGGGATGTGTGTAGAAGGGGGATGGACTGCCCCTCCTTCCCAGAGAGGGAGGGTGTGAAGGCCGGGTGAAAGGTTCCTGGCCTCCCACTAGCCCGCACCCCAACCTGAGCTGTCTCCATGTGACCCCCTGCCCGTTTCCTGCAGGGGGTCTCCTGTAGGCTCTCAGCTCCTGGAGCTCTCCACTGCCCCTGCCCAGCTGGAGTCCTGACCTCCCTGCTGCACTTCCGGGCGCAGTGCACCCCCTCCCTCTCCCAGGTCAGGTTGCTCAGATTTTAGAGTAGGACAGCCCTCCCAAGACCAGAGACCCCAGAATGCACCCTGGGGTCTGCCGGTTTGCACTGAGACAGCAGTTTGGGCTGCAGGGGTGCTACCGAAGAGCACGAACAGATGGGAAGGGGCAGCTGGAGAGTTGAAAGCTAGATATAATGGTGAACTTCCTCTTTCACCGGCAGGGGACCGCCTGGGGAAAGGAGGGACCTGCAGGTGGGGAGAGGCTGTTTTCTTCAATCCCAAGATCATTAATTCACTCAACACATACTTACCAAATGCACTAGGTCCAGGCACTGTTTGTGAGGCTGTAGTGGACGAGACAGACAGCCCTTTTGGAAGTGGGAGAGAACATGACACAGAGCCAAATAACAGAGCATCTGATGATAACACGAAGCTTACTGAATAGGGAGGTGCGATAGAAAGTGAGTACTGGGTAGTCTCAGAATGTCTCTGAGTGCCAATCTGAGCGCCAATCTGAGCTGAGACCCGCAAGATGAGAAGGATCTGGCGGGACCGTGTTTCCCTGAAGAGAGCACAGCCCATGCAAAGGCACTGAGGCATAGTAACATTTGCTGCACTATGTGGAGACTGAAGGGAACACAGTACATGAGCGCTGGAAGGTGCCCCCTTGCTCAGTGAGGAAGTGCTGCCCTGGGCAATACTGGAGGGATAGTCCACTGTCCCCCCATATAGGGACTTGGCTTTCAGTCTATATCACCCTGCCCCTTGGAGGGCTGAGGGCCCCAGTGTGGGGGGGCAGGGAGGTGGGTGGTCTGGGTGCCCCGTTGGCCGAGCTGTCCCTGGTGGTCGTTGGAAAGGCAGCTCTACAAGCTTCCAGACACAGGGTTGGGGCTCTCAGGCCCCAGAACTGCCCGCCTCCAGGCCACCCGAGCCCCTCCCCTCGGTGAGGCTGTCTCTGCTCTGGGCCCTCCCCAGCCTTCTCCTAGCCTTCCCAGGGTGGGGTCAGGGTTCTCCTCCACCTCTTCCCATTCCAGGTTTTGTTATGAAAACTTTCTCTGACTCCTCCAGCATCATCCCCTGTGAGTTGTAAGAGCCTCATTAGGAAGACAGAAATGGACCCAGACTGGTCCCTCTATATTCCCGCTACCCTAATTCCCCTCTGAGGACAGAAGGCCAGAAAATGTGGGCATTGGAGGGTGTCCCAGGATAATATTGCAGGATTTCATTTGGATACAGGCCCTTGGGTCCAAGGCTTGTTCCGAGGGCAACTTCCAGGCTCCACATCTGCTCTGTAGGGTGCAGAGACCCACCCTACACCCAGCCTGGGGCTTCCAATGGGCCCTTTCCTGCCGCCCCTTCCCCCCCTCCTAGAACAATGCCGCACTGGGCAGGGCAGTCATAGAGCCAGCGTCCTCAGCTTCCTCCCACGAGACTAGGGGAATGATTGGGCTTCTCTGCCCTGGGGGTCCCTGCTCCAAAACAGAGCTGGAGGTGATGACTCTGCTCTCGCAGTGGGTGGTCTGAAGGTCCAGCGAGTTCTCCAGCTCTGAAACTGTCAGTCACGTGGGACTGGGAGGTTCGTTGGCGTGCATCTCTGGGCCTGCCCCAGAGCTTCCGATTCATCTGGTCCCACGTGGGGCTTGAAAATTTGCATGTCCAACAAACAGTCTGCAGTTCTGGGGACCACACTTTGGGGACCACAGGGTTTGGAGCCACAAGAGCAGCTGGCACATAGTAGGGCTTTTGCAGATGTGTGCCCCCCTCTGCAGCCACCAGTGTCCCTGAGAATGGGATCCTGCCCCTTCCCCAGGCGATCCCCACCCTCAGGGCCTGGCCCATGACGACCATGATACCCTCCCTCTTCTTGTTGCCCTAGTTCTGGGCGCCTCACGAGCTCCCTCCCAGGCCCCTGGGGCTTGGCTCTTTGGCCTGCGACCGGCCCAGGTCTTCCCTGCCACTTCATCCTGTCGCCGAGGACCATCCGTCCGAGTGCAGTAAGGGCAGAGGGGGTCCCTGCCCACAGACGCGAACTCCGCCAGAGAGAAGCCTCTCTCCACCCCAGCCTGCCATGGAAGTGCTGGCCCGGAAGCCCAGCCCTCACCTGGTCACTGCAGACAGCACAGCGCCCTCCCCAGCACAGCTCGGAGAGGCTTTGCTGGTAATTAGTCGCTTCCAGGATGGCCTGTCAGCCCCATCAATCTTCACCGTTTGGTTTTGCTTTAGAGAGTAGCTGCTCTTCTGTAAGGCTCTGAGCAAGTTAATTGACATGAAATTCTATTCAAAATTCAATTTGCTCTCACAGATCCGATTCAGGCCCTATAAATCAGCAGGGCCAGCTGCTCCTTTGCGGTTCAAACATGCTTTTTGCTTGCAGGGTGACAGCCAGAAGATGATG